CTGACCCGACTTTTTTTATCTTAGCCCGTAGAAGAGGCGGTATCTGAGAATATCAAAGATTGTGCAATGAGGAGATGTTTCCTCAGTTCCAGCCACATTCTGCAGGGAACAGCGTTAAAGTGTTCTTGACCTTCAACCTACTGGTAGTGAAAATAAAGATTTCGTAAACGGTTAGTCCAAGAAAGGCAATTTTTTTCATTCCTATGTGAGAGTGAGGGAAATTAGAAGCATCCACGTGTAAACAGCTCTTGCTGTCAGATCATTTTAAATGATGCTAGAAATCAGCGATAAAACTTCGGACGTCAACTCATTTTCAGAGCGAGAAACCCCAGACAGTGAAGATCAGGAAGGCAGGGAGAGAAACGTTGCATTAGAAGCGAGTTCAAAAACAAATGAATTGCTGCCAGCAACGGTCACGTTGAAACGAATGGAGCGATTGGCTCCTGTGTTTGATCCACCCCAGATTCGAATTGCTGTGCGAGAGAATGAAGCAAACACAGGGCTTGCAAAGCTTCGCGCCTTCTATATGGATAACAGGCCTGGAAGCGTCACATACATTTTGCTTGCTGGTGACACATCCCTATTCAGGTAACGCACTTCCAGTAATTAAAAAAGGCCTAAATTGATTTATTTTCAGCAATTGCCAAAATTCTTTAGGAGCACTCTGGATCATGCCAGGTGCGCCCATGCATTTTCTTCCCAAATGGCCCAGCGCATGAAAAACACCAAAAATTCAATCGGTGGCCCAGCGCTTCTTTCAAGTTCTAGGACGAGCTTGAAATTGGACATGTGGTCATACACAAAAAAATATGTAGTCTTTAATAAACTCGAAAATATGTAACTTTCGCTGGAGTTTGATATGTAGTTTTAGCAATTAAAACTTTTCCAAAGTTTTGTGTTTCTGGATGACACCATTAAAAAATTAGGTGGCTAGTTATACAGTGAGGATCCATTTTCAGTACAGGACTTTCTTTTTTTTCCCACATTATTCAGTGAAGTAGGCCTTCTAACTTTTCATCTTCTACTTTTTAGTAGCTCGAGTTTTACTATTAGCTGGGATTTTAATTTCAAGTCATAAACTAGGAATTCGGCAAGGCCGGAAGTCACAGGCCTGTGATGCTGTAGACGGTAGTGGTAATGGCGTCTCTTTCCCCGGTGACAGCTTAATTTTTTTCAAGTACCATATCCTCAACCAGCGCCGTATATTGATTGTTCGATACTGATGCATAAATTAATTCAAAAGACGTTCGTCAAACTTTTATCTGCTATATGATTAGTTAAAGAAGGATTGTTGGTTGTAGCGTGAATAGTTTTACCGGGTCGCTGCGCTTGCTACGTCCATTGGACGCCGAGGAAGAGGCATCATACGAGATCCGTATCGGCACTGCCGAGGTTTGTTTTTCGCTGTTGCATTATTTTATAAAAATGTCTGCTACTTTTTTGGTCAAAAAAATTGTAGACAAATGCCAAATCTCTGTTTTAGGCAGGTGTACTGCGTACAGAACCGGATTTGGCGCATACAGCAGTGGTAAAAGTGGATGTTCTGGACGCAAATGACTGGATACCCAATTTTGAATTGGATAATTACCAATTCAAAGTAAGCGCGGACGCAGAGCCGGGTACTGTAGTAGGTCGAGTTGTTGCATACGATCAGGACAAGGATGTTAGTTTCCTTTTTTATTTTTTTTTTTTCGCGATAACACTAATTTTGAAAATCATTCACACATCCGTTGTGGGGGTAAATCACTGGATCTCATGGCTAACTAAAAGCACTGTAACAGTTTTAATCCAGTATTAATTATGGCAATTATAATTAGGAGCCAAATAATAAGATTCGCTATCGAATCATGGAAAATAGCGACGCTGGAGCAGAATATTTCAGTGTGGATCGTGACACAGGTGTACTGACAGTTGCCAACCGCCTTCACTCACTTTCCAGCAAACTCATTTCGGTGATTCTTTTTTTTTTCTCATTTACGCTATGAATAGTTAGTTATTTATGCTAGCACGTTTTGATTTCGATTTATGTACGCCCCAAAGTCCTTTTTAATTATGCGTTTTTGCCGTGCAGCGCTAGAGCGCTGCAATAGGCAGCAAAAACGCATATTGCAACGA